GACCGGATGATACAATACGTATAGATCAACACATCCAAAGGTTAAATGAAACCAAGGAAAACGTAAATGCAAAAAATAGACGCTTGTTGATCGGTATTTCTATACCAATGAATATACAACAGTAGCTTTTTTGTGTGGAGGTTTGTGTAGCACTTTCCGAAGGGCACCAGAAAGGTTATGGGAAAATGTTATTCGGCTAGGGAGGGTAGACACTGACTTTAAAAAGAAAATGTATTTTGAAGTATTGAAACTTGGCATGGAAAAGGAATATAGAGCTTAGGTCGGGATAAAGAGCATTGATTTTATATTATGTATACATTACGATTTTCGAATGTTAAACCCTTTGAGACCTTTTTATAAACTATATTCTATTTGGGGCGCAGAATTACGAGCGTATTGTAAACCCTGAAAAGGAATATAAGCCTGATGCATTTTACCTTGCGTACTGGTGTGGGGGCGCTTCAAGCGTTCAAGGATCATGATTTTCCTTCCTTTTCTCCCATTTCTCTTTCTATCTTTCGCTTGTTTTGCACCCATCCAAGGGCCCACTGTCCACTCCCCGTAGATACGCCACTGTTCTATGACTATGATGATCTTTTCTTATGCTGCTTATCACCACGATCGAATACCGTTTCCGTTAATACCCGTAATATCACGAGTACCTTTAATATCAAATCGCCTAGTAGGTTACTTAATTGCGGTAATGATTCTCCATCACTTTGTACATGATGACGATTTAAAAACTTTACACTTTTAATGCTTCTACATCGAAACGTTAGTTTTTTCTCTAATATTGCCTTGTCGACATTTGTGTCACCATTTTAGAGTGCGATTGAACGAAGTAAAATAGGGCTTTCATCGCTCATCTCGATCGTTCGCCGTTGGTAATTGTCTCTCTCCGTCCCTATGTATCTGTCTGTCTTTCACACATTCACACACGCAGACACACACTTATATTTTTTCCTCTCTTTTTCTCTTTTTGCCACTTTCTCTCTCTATCTTCCTCTCTGTTTATAATTAATCTACTCTATCTCTCTCTCTCTCTCCTCATTATCTTTTTTTCTCTTTCCCCTCCCCATCTACTTATTATATTGCGGGTAAAGCGACTTCCATAATCATAAGCAATATTAACTGTGAAAAAACGCAACTCCTTCTCTGAGGTTAAGACAGTCAGGTATTCCGGAGTTCGTCTCTCATGATGTGGTATTCCTTTTTCTCTTCTCCTGAAACCTTCTATAAAATTGAGATCATTTTGGCTTGTTTGTAAGGTTAAAGGTATGTGAAGCAAAAGAAAGTACAGCAAAAGTGATCGATATCAGACATAAAAAATCAAAACCAATGCAACATTCTTTGAAGCATTAGAAGGACTAAATATATCTAGCAATCAATTACACTTAACCACCATCGATGGATTCCAATGTGTTATGTGGCTTTAATGGCGTACGCAGGATTTTTTCAAGGGGGGGGGGGTAAAATCGGCCCTTCGCAACGACTTAGCCAGCCGCTGAATAAGCGGGGGGGGGGGGGTAAGAGGACACTTTTTTTCAAGGGGGGTTAAACCCCCCCCCCCCCCCCCACCCCCCTGCGTACGCGCCTGTGTGGCTTGCTACCGTTCTTTTACAAAAACATTATTGTGCGATGATAAATTGGTAACTAATCAATTTGGTAATCTAGGCCATACAGGAATTATGAGGACCGATAGGCCATACATGTAAGATGCTTTGTTTTCATCCTTGAGGCTATTAATAGAGATTTATACATATTTGAAATGAACAGAAAAACCCATGAAAATATCATTTGATTTTAGTTAATGACTTGTTTTTAGAAAATATTACGAGGATTAAATGGAGATCCTATGTACAGATTGTACTTTTAAAAGTGTTTGTAATGTTTTTATTTGATTATAAATGGTACATTATATGGACATAACCTCGATGAATAAGAACGGCCATAATGTATTTCATTGATGTTCAGCTGATTAAGCGCTTTCAAAGCGTACTATGTTCCCCCAAAACGATAAATGAAAACTGTAGGCGCAATCCACTGCAAAATAATTATCAAAATTTCGGGAAAAAGGTGTTTACGAACGCTTCATTTCATATTTCAGGACGTACAGCTGTTCAAATTATTGATCAAATATATGATCCAGGAGCTCTATACATATAGTAACATAGTCAACATAGATGAAATGAGACACGGCCAATCATGTACAGTCTCATGGCTCAAATTAATCATATGGTTGTGTCTAAAAACAGAGAACGCCTTCTGAACACGGTTTTTGTAATTTTTCGCTTCGTCTCAGCTGCTATTTTTTCTTCGCTTTCCATAGATCTTTCCTTTTCTAGAGTTATTGCTATTTTTTTTTAAATACAAAAAGCAGACCAATGAATGGATAGAAAAATGCTAAATGCTTCTGTCAGGTGTGCTCCGGTTTTTCACGAGTGGGATTGAGGTCAATTAGAATGGATTTCTTTTCAACTACAACCGTATACTGAACAACTTGGGATGAGAATAAACAGAATTTTATCGGTTACTAAAATGTCAGGGCTATCAGCCATATTGAAAGAGGTCTTGAGTGAACTGAAGTCATAATAGCATGAATACATGTTCAACTGGAGGTCTTTTATTTAGTGCAACGAAGAGAAAGGCTGATGATATCATATTAAGGATTGATGTTTTATCCTTTATTACTCGGATCATTTCAGCTATATCAAATCTGTCTGCGACTTGTCGTTTGGCCAGCTCTCTTTTAATGGTAGCCTTGAACAATCAGTGCAACTAACGTTGCTAAAAAACTAAAGATAATATCAACGACCCTTATATTTATTTTTGGGGAGAGAGGTCTCTAACTACTTCGTAAAAAAACATTAGACAAGAAGAGCAACCATCCGTACTGAGTATATGGGATTTGGGGACAATGTGGGAAGCACTGCGGGAAATGAAACCTGTAACAATAGGAGCAAGATTATTATCACATTTATATTTACTCAGAAAGTATACGCGAACTAAGATAAGGGAGATGTAGTAAAGGGTATCATATCAATCTTCTTCAGTTTTCTTTTGATAAGAATTACGTGCCCCTACCCCTCCCTCCACCCCTACCTTGCCAGGAGAAATGGCGGTAAGGGACACATTCTTGTACATACGGGCCCTCATTACCATAAATAATACCAATGAAAGGAGGGGTTTGAAACATTGCAGCTTCATATAAGAAAACGCCATCGTAATCTTTGAGAACATTATTAACTTATTAAATTCTCTTTAAAGGAAAATATATATGAAAACAAAGCAACATAATACTTACATTTATAAATAGTTGTATCCTTAAAATGAAAGGACACTTTCAACAATGTTAGCTGAGGGGAATAGTAGCATCATATGATAATAATCTAATAAACGATCAGACTCAGTGGGGTATGTGTATGAATGTTATTAAGGTGCTTGAATTAGGAAGGACGTTACCTTTAGCTTAGTTCCTTAAATTTATATATATTTGTATATATATTCATACTCGTAATTCGCACTTTTATTGTTGGGGATTTCAATGTTTTGGTGTATTTGCTATAAGCAAACTTCATTTTAAATGTAGCGACGTTTCAATGGTCACCGTTTGCACATGCACATGCGATGCCGGATTCCACACAAAAATACAACGATCACAGTTTGAAATTGTTTTTTATCGGTGTACTTTTTCAGAGGGTGGGCTACAGGACTTGGCCTTTTGCTCCTTATTACATCCCTCGTCTGTCTCTCTCTCTCTCTGTCTCTCTCTCCCTCTCTCTCTCTCTCTCTCTCTCTCTCTCTTTATTCGCCAATGCTTCTTTAAATTATCCAGTTCGATATCAATATGCATTCACCTGTATTGTGCGTTCATATTGATCATTACATTCTAACGCCCTAACGTATCTAAGTATATTAGAAAATACATAATTGATCATAAGGCTATTATTTAGCATTCATTTCGGGCAGCGCCAGGAGCGTCACAACGTAACGGGCATGTGCGCTATATAAGAAGCCACCATTATTATTGTTATTATTATTATTTCAATAAAGACAAAATAACTTCCAAAGCACGCTCTTCTTTTTTCGGAAGCTGAATAAAAAAAAGGCAGGGTCAGAGAACAAGGATGACAATCTAGAGCAAGACGTGAATCCCTGCAAGCAATGGTTATAATGATATAGGGTACAATAGGGTCTGAAAAGAGAGTGGAGAATATGACCCCTTTAAACAAAGTAAATGGCCGGAAATTAACGTGACAAGGTCAATACGATGATAGCTTGGGGGTCAACAAAGAGACATTAGATCTACTATTACATGTGACATATATTGAGATTGGTTTACAATCACATTAAGCTCTGAATCATCTTCACTGCACAAAGCTTTCTTGCATGCTACAATGCATCGTAATGTGGCGCCATTTATCTATTCATCCAAGTTCATACACCGGGGTATTTGTATTCTTATCTCTCTATCCAGTTCTCTCTATTTCCACCTCTCTCTCTCTCTCTTACTCTCTTTGTCTGTATATCTGACCTTCTTTTATTGCGTTTGCTTAGTTTGATGAATATTTATCTCTCACCCCCATCTCTCTCTCTCTCTCTCTCTCTCTCTCGACCTTTTCTATTCGTCACCTTTTTGAGTATTTATGTATATAATGTATAACACTAAATTGTCTTTTCTTTCGATATTTTTCATATTGCAACATTTATTAATGATAAGGCCTTGGTCGGGCTATCATTTAATTATGATTATAATCTCATTACCAATTAATCAAGATCTCATTAGAAGGGTTTTCCTTGATTTCTCATGTTTTGTACAATTTTTCCAAACAAACTTGTTCGATGTGATTTTATGTTGTTCCTATGGACCTGATAAAACCATCAATAAGATAAAAAGTGGTCCAGAATCAAGGCTCAAGAACATTCAGGACAAAAAAAGACGGATAGATAAATCGTGAAACATAAAAATAGCAGGATTTTATCTAGGATGAAATGCTTACCTCGTATGGAATGACTGTGATGACAAAGACAAGTGTGATGCCAACCATAAGACGGGAGAATTCCGCAGATACTCCGCGTATCATATCTACTTGTTTGATGTATTCATCCCTATTCCTAGGGCACACCATATCAATCCTTTGTCGCATCCGTCTCATACAGCGTATCACAAACACGTTACAAAACACCAGAATAACAATGTTAGCAAGACTCTCAACTACTGTAAGAATATCGTAAGCTGTATAAATCACTGAGGTCCAATGCACTGTAGTGTTTCTATATGTAAAGCAATAGGAAGTTGTAGATAAGTTGCATGTATGTGGTATGGCGTAGACTTGACCAGTCACTTGAAAAGAAGCCATAGCAAAGGAGTAGATGATTAGGACAAAGATGGCGATGAATATACGTTGTAAAGTTACGCTATTATCATAGAAGAAAGGTTTAAGAAGACTGAGGTAACGTTCAACACCCATGAAGATGACAACGAACCCTGAGAGCCGAAGACACATCGTACTGACAAAGTCAGAATAGAGAAGACTTCCAGAGCCTCCTATCCAAGAGCCATATAGAATAGTTACTATCCAAACACTTTCACCAAACAAGAGTCTAGTCAGGTCTGTAGCACAGAGTACCAATACTAGAACGTTGGGTATGTTATAACTAGTAGGAACATGCTCTTGTTTCCTGCTAAACCATATCAAGATTAGAGCTCCTACATTAGCTGTCACACCAATCACCATAGAAAGACTTATCCGAATAGAGTCAGTTAAAGGATAACATACATGTAGATCTTCATTGAACAATGTTGGTAGAATAACCACTCCGGGAGGATAGTTCTCCATCGAATAACATGCATCATCCAAGGCCATCTTTATCACATGTCCAATATTCACAATGTGTGGATTCACTCCAAGCCTGTAATGTAACAACAATAAGGAGAGTCCGTGAGGTAGATATATTATTTTAATTGTTAGATGTTCAGGTTTAGATCGGTGTACTTTCCCTGTCGTAGAAGATGAAGATCATATCAGGATAGTTAGAATCATTTACACCGTTGTGAATATTCCATCAAATGTATTTGCATGACAAACTGCACTTAACCTTTCATTTAATCAGCAACTAGTAGGAAAGAGTATCACTATTAATGTACACGAGACGGCACAATGGGATCATCCAGAAATGAAATACACAGATATGTCTGATGAAGATCGTAATTCAAATCCAATCTGAATCCTAATGCTAAGTTATATTCTTGTTTACTAACTGATTTTCTTCCGGATTTGTGTGGAGAACGCGCTTCATCTCGCGGTCGACTGGAATATTTTTAATTTCCGAAATCGCATTCCTATATCGATCCAAGTATGATGAATTACATTTTTGTCGTTTTGCTGTACATGCCAAATATTTGCCTAAGCGATCAATGCGTGCGTAAGCCCAGAGGCAGCAGAACAGCAGGAGTCATGCTAGGGGAAATGGCGATCAATATTATCGATGACATGAAGAAGTTATACTAAAATCCAATTAGAATATTTAAGATGTGCATGTCCATCTAAAGATTGGCAGAGTAAAACGAGCTCTTCACAGATAGTTTCCGTGTCTCCTTCAATCTCCTATCAAGACAATTCAACTTTTGCTCTGATTGATTTCGTAGTGCTTGCTATCAACCTCTGATTATCTTGATTTAACGATACTTGTTATCCACCATTCAAGCCGGATCGTATGCTCCAAGATCACAATTCATACATCTGAACTCTCTGATCGAACGAAACAATGCAAACAGACAATATATCTCAATAGCTTGAGCACAAAGCTGAAATACCACTTACACTTCTGATATTAGAGAGCCCACTTTGGTAATTCACTTCTTGTTTCTTGGGATCAATGACACGAATACAAAGTAAGAGAACTCAAATGTAAAGAAGATAAATACAGTTGTTACTAGTGCTATACGCTCTCGGACAAGCCTCCTCACTCAGTGGATGGCGTCACGTAAATGCTGAATCTTTGTAAGATTTCACTAGTGTACCAGTGTCCTCATTTTATTAATGAGCTTTCAAACCTATATGCGGTGGGTGTTCAATGCTTGATTGCAAGGAATTCGCCTTCAGAGAATAAATATAATAATGGAGATAACACCAATCTAGTGTATGACATGAAAACTAATTCAGGAGATTCATATCTTTTAAATGTAAATGAAGAAGAAGGAAAAAAAATCGATAATAGTTATTAATGTACTGAGCGAGGCGGGAAGATTCGCCGGCAATTCGCTCGAAGATGTCGTAGACGAAGCTGTTCAGAGATTTTTTCTTTTTTTTAGTAATGAACTATATAGATGCCTGATTATTCATTTAACAGAATTATTCTGTTAAATGAATAATCAGGCATCTATATAGTTTATTACTAAAAAGAAAAGAAAAAATCTCTCTCTCTCTCTCTCTCTTCTTCTTTTCTCTTTCTTTTGTTTGTTCTTTTGATGTTGGTGTGTGTTTTGTATACTGTTTTACTTGTTATGTGTTTAAGTATTACGTGGGACGGAGGTAGTAGGTGTTCTCTTTCACTTTTTTTTTCTTCTTCTCTTTCGTCTTTTGTCTTTTTTTAATCATAACCCTTCCTTTCTCTCTAAAGAAAATTTTAAGAAAGAAAAAAAAATTGTGGAAAAGAAAAGAAATATTTTGAAATTTATATATGCAAACTAGTCGAGGACAATACGAACTTTTTTTGCGATTTGTTTAAAATGTGAAAATATAATTTGATTTATGTGAATATTTTTCATCTGTAAATGTGTAACTTAATTTATTTGTAACTTTGTATAGAAATGTAAAAGTTCACTCGCAAATATATTTAGACCTATGTGAAGATTTTGTAATTTTGTATACAATGTTATAAATTATGTACAATTTTCTTTATGAGAGAAGAGAATAAAAACCCTAGAAAAAAAAACATCCTATTAATTTTCAGATCATTGTGATGGTAACTGGATTTTATGTATGAAAAACATGGTGAAAATTGTAACGTCATAATAGTAATTATGAAATAGTGAAACCAGGGAGTCGGGTCTCGCCAGCAAATATAGCAACAAAATGAAACAAACATTGGAATGCATTTACATCGCTTACATGAGAATCAACAATAAAACACATTAAGGGGATATGGTCATCATCGTTTTTACATTATGATATGGCAATGTGATAATACCATGTAAATGACCATCATGTTCGCTTTTTTTTTCCCACTTACGATTCTTAGAAAATGTATTAATGTTTAATATATATTGGAATGATCTTTATTTAAAATAGTTTAACTTTTGGGATTTAAAACTGTCAAGGTATTTAATATTGATGATGCTGTCATGTAGTCTATTCATGTCTATACACGTACGTGGGAAATATGAGAACTTGAAGGCATCTGTCCTGCAGAAGGTCTGCTCTAATTGCTGACTATTGCTAACTGTGATCGATGAGATCTGGCAACAGCAAAAGGCTTTAACGACTTAGGGATGGCAACGTCTCCTCTCTGGATCTGTTTCATAAGACCGAGCCAAGAACATTGTTTGTCTTCTTTGTAATGTGGTCATAACACTCTTTGTGGGATACGAATACCCCCTGATATTGATGGTGGTAAACTGAGTCCTAGGTTTAGTTATGTAGCTTGTAGAGAAATCTCAAATTCTTCCTCTTGGTGCCCATGTTCACGGCAATGCATTTCTTAGTACTAAATCCCATCTGCCATTTTTCCTCACATTTTTCAAGTTGGTAAATGTTCATTTGGAGTTTCTCGCTTTCGGTCAGGCTATACTCGACGCACTTATCGGGAAAATAAGCTTATTTCATACTTGAAAATTGATGTGATGTCATTAATATATAGAAAGAACAGCAAAGGACTCAGTAATGTTCCTTGCGGAATGCCGGAGACTTCGTCTTGTACATTATTGGCGACAACCTTTTTGCCTTCTTTTTGTGAGAAACTTGATGATCCAGTTGATCAGCTTTCCACGGATACTATAAATGCGCATAGAACTAAACAAAAGAATGCATTACACTTTAACAAATGAGATGAATTTTTAACGTCAGTCTATAGCAATTGCGAAGACAACCAAACTGATTGAACCTACATTCCCCTTTAGATATACGCGAATTTACATTTAATTGAATTATTTCATTTAAAATCTAAATGGAAATTGGAAGGTCTGTAATTTCATAGAGATGACGATAATTCACACCTATACAAAATTTGATTGAATAAAACAAGGATATTTAAAGTGCATGTAACACATGTGCTTGCAATAAAATCTTCATTTTAATTGATTTCATAAACCTCAAATTGTACTCTTGACAGCTTTATTTGTAATTCTGTACAAGCACTTAAAGACACAATGCAACAGACATGACATATGATTATTGTCATTGAAGTGAGGACATCTATAATAACTCATAGGAATAACACAGGTGAAAGTCTGCATTTTTGGAATACATTTTGTTCATTCTATTAGTTTTGTATCTCAATTTGAACATATCAATGGCTATGTGATATGGAATTATGTGAACAGGTTGAAGACGGATTATGTTCGCCTTTCCATGCCTATGCAATATCCTTTAAGATAATTGGAAACGTGGCCTAAAGCAAATCCAAACTGCGAGGAAATTGTAACAAATTGAATAAAAGTATAATTTCAGGTATGCCAAACATAGATCAAGTTAAACTTGATGCTTTTGCCTACCTTTCAATAGATATCGAATAACCAATGACTTGTCTATGGATCTGAAGGGCATTAGTATTCATACTGCAGGCAGCTGATGGCACTGCGGAGTTGAGTTACATTCAGGGAATTCAGAGGTTCAAATACTCGTCTGAAATCTTAATCTATCTGTCAATGCTTAGAAAGGCGACATAGGTGTGTATATCTCAAACACACTGTAGGATAAGTAACTAGACCACAATGTAGACCAACCTTACCATCTTACAATGAATCATGACACCCATAAAAAGACGCTACTTAGTCGTCATATATATAAAAGATATTCTTTTCAATGCTTATTGAACTTGATTTTGTTCAACGAAATAAATTTATCAGAAAGCTTTAGGCACTATTTGTGAAGATTTTGATAATACCCAGTGTTTACCTAGATTTATGAAATACATCGTTTCTAGGTTAATGTGTCTATTTGAAGAAAAATGTCAATCATGTCCTATTTCATTTAGGAATTCCGTAGTTGAGTAGTTTAAACACTAGTCTTGATATTAATATGAGGAGAGTTCCGCTAAAATTGCAAGATAATATAGAATCATAGTTCTAACAATTTAATTGGATGCTTCATCATAGAGATGCTATATACGCATGTGTGTATATGTGTGTGTGTGCGTGTGTGTGTGTGTGTGTGTGTGTGTGTTTTGTCTAAAAAAAATGTATTATTTTTTATTAATGCTTACTGTTTAATTAGAGAACTGTAAATATAGACATATGTACTTGTAGTGGACTTACCCACACTTCGTTTGGTACTATATTCCTATGTTTGGCTCCCCAGAGGTCAATTAGAAGTTGCTCAAACCTCTCTTCCGCCAACTGATAAGATGGGTTGGGGATTGAACACAATGCTAGAAAGAGTGTGGTATGTATCAAAATCGATTATTTCTTTTTGTCGATTGATTATGTGGTGTCTACTGTTTGATTATATAAGTCCTGATCGCAGCATCGCAGCAAAACCAACCTTTATCCGGGAGAGAACATTATTGAGAAAGAATGGGGTCTCGTAAGGCGCCAGATTCATAAGTCGATCTGTAAGAGAGAAGAGGGGAGAGAGAGAGAGAGAGAGAGGGGAGAGACAAGTCAAAATAAATGCACGCTTTATCAAACAATATAAAGATGGATACTTTGTCAATACTTCCGTCACTCTCTTTTGTAGTTACCTTATACTGTCGTTGTTTGAGTTTAGTTGATAATTTAATATCAAACCTCCACACAATAGACCATGTATACTGTGTGAGCTGTATATATTTTAGTTTCTAACAATGATTGTGAAATAATGTGATCGAAAATTTGAGCTACAATGACTTTCATCAGAATTTTCTTCAAGATGCATGTGTATTCCTTGCTTGCTAGAATGGAAGACGGTGTGTTTTACGAATTAAGAATTGAAATCTCTTTGAATTTGATCCAAACGCCAGATTATAAAGATAAAATGCTTGTAAGACAAATATCGAAATAGAGAAATTTCATCTATCATACCACTAATAAATGACCTTTATTAGATTACAGCGTCCTAGCTGTGCGTCTCGCCTCATCTAATCTTATTTTCTCTACTCATAATTACATTGAAAGGAATTCATAACGTGATTACTTGCTAGTTTTTATTTATTCAAATAATCTGTAGTGGCCATTTTGCTTCTAAAAATATACCAGGCTGCCTGTCCTTAATGAGTGCACTTCATTTCCTTTACATTATATTAAATCTAGACAAGAGTATATAAACATGAAGTTCTGGGAACATATCTTCAAAATAATATTAAAAGTATTTTGCTGTATTGCCTACTGTCTTCTATGTTATGTAAGTTAAATTTAGGATGTGTGAATATCAACTAATGTGTTTTGATATGGATTTAAATGAAAATTTTGTCTAGTGAATATAACGTTTCGATTATTTCCAGATTGCACTACAACTATTACAGCAATACCCTCCAAAACCCCCAGGACATAATTTACAAAAAGGGACAAGTATCAGTATGTATCACTTATTTACCCCCCCCCCCTCCCTCCGCATCGCTGTTGGTATTCAAGTATCCAGTCGCTATGTAGTTTATATTTGAGATTTATCAGGACATTAAATGTTTAATTATTAGGGATTTTACTTCGTAACGTTGAATGATGTTTCGTTTTCTAATCATGACTTTTTATTTTCACATTCACTTTTGTCCATAAATCGTCAGATGGCAAACTCCTTATAAGGCTGTTATGATGCTGAGAAGAATTTTTTTTTCAGGTATTCAGCAGGTAAATTCCCTAAATCTTTGTTAATAGTTGACTCTGATTGTAATTCTGTTATTTTCTCAATCGAATTAGTCTAACAGATCTTTAGGCTCCAACCTGTCTTCAAGGATGTCTCAACTAAAGATAGTTGACATATTTGTCAATCCAACATCTAACTGATGGCGTAACAGAATGGATAAAAAAACCTGCGTATAATGATTTGATTTTCCACACACAACATTGGTTGGAATATACCCCTATAGGTCCTACATTACTTATGTTACTAGGCAACAAGTTTAATATTAAACCTATTGC